TACCTACATCGAGAGTCACAAGCCCCTAGTCAAAGATGCCGTCCTCACAAGGTTCGATGACTCAGACTCAGTCCTTGCCGGCTTCATCATCGACATGTTCTGCACGCCGATGATTGATTTGGCTACTGAATTCGGCGTGCCTAGCTACGCGTTTTTCACCACAAACCTTGCTTTTCTTGCTCTCATGTTCCATTTGCAGACTCAGCGTGACGAGCAAAACATGGACACTTCCAAGCTCAACGACTCGGACTCCGAGTTGCACTTTCCTGGGTTCGTCAACCCGATTCCGGCTAAGGTCTTGCCTACCGTCATCGTACATAAAGACTGCACTCCCGTAATCATTGATATAGCCAGAAGATTTCGAGAGACCAAGGGTATTCTGGTAAATTCCTTCATGGAGATTGAATCACATCCACTCGAATTCCTTTCTCAATCGCAGGTAGGGAATATCCCACCGATTTTTCCTGTGGGGCCCATATTGAATCTGAAAGGTGACGGCCATGATGAGTCCAGTTCGGGTGAGTTTGATGTCATAATGCAATGGCTTGATAATCAACCTCCATCATCAGTTGTGTTCCTATGCTTTGGGAGCATGGGAAGCTTCAGCGAAGATCAGGTGCAAGAGATCGCATATGCACTGGAACAGAGTGGGCATCGATTCTTGTGGTCCTTGCGCAAACCCCAACCAAAGGGTGCCATGTCCCCACCAACCGATTATTCAAACTTTGAGGAGGTTTTGCCTGAAGGATTCTTAGAACGAACGGCTGAGGTTGGAAAAATGATTGGATGGGCTCCACAAGTGAGTGTTCTGGCCCACCCTGCAATTGGAGGATTTGTATCGCATTGCGGCTGGAATTCCACACTGGAGAGCATATGGTTTGGTGTTCCCATTGCGGCATGGCCACTGTATGCAGAACAGCAATTCAATGCATTCCAAATGGTTAGGGAGTTAGGATTGGCAGTGGAGATTAAGATGGATTACAAGAGCGATTCGAGGCTCGAGATTAAAGAACCACCCATCGTGACTGCAGAAGAGATAAAGAGAGGAATAGTAGGACTGATGGAGCCACAAAGTGATGTAAGGAAGAAGATGAAGGTGATTAGTGAAAAAAGCAGAAAGGCCTCCGCCAAGGGAGGTGGTTCTTCCTACTCCTCACTCCGCGATTTCATCAGTCTTGTCCTAGGTAACATGCCATGAGTTAATTGTTGCTAATTGATTAAGG